GATTGATCCTTTAAATCAATAAGATCAACCCTTAAGCTCTATACGATTATGTAACGTTCGCCTTCCAATCAGGTGAACCGGGTTCGATTCCCAGCCCAGAAATGGCTGGTCGATAAGAATTCCTCATGCGGCTTGCACCGACCACAATGCTGACGTAAAAGTATCCTCAGTGGTACACGATCATGGGCTAGAGTAATTTTGCCGTCAGGCTAACCGTGGGATGTTTTCGTGGTTTTCTTCTCCCTGTAACGCAAATGCGGGTCAGTTCCATAAAAAAGTCCTCCACTTAGGGAAATTTCTCCCAATAGTTTATCCAGGAGTTCCCTTGTCTTCTGGATTGGGTTTAAAATTACAAGGCTACGGAGTTGAGCATCAGTACTCGTAAACCCAAATTTGGGTCGGTTGTTTAACGACGGCAATAAAATAAATAGTTTCAGACACCTTATTTCCAGTTAATAAAAGAATATTTTGTAATCTTTAATAATTTATGAATAGCTCTTTTTCTATAATTTGACAAAAAAAACCTTTGAAAATTATGGAGCAAATAAATATAAAGAAACGCCGCTTGTTATGTTAAGTAACTAATCCTTCTTTAGCAAAGGGAATTTATATCTAGAATAAACATGTAGTTCCGCGTACTTCAGACGATTAGTTATGCCCGGAAGCGATGAGACGTGAAAGAAGTCTTGTCTGCAGGTTGTCTCGACAGTGTAACTGAAAATATGCATTAATTTAAATAAATGAAGCTACAAAAAGGATTGTTTGTTTTCCAAATTTCTGGTACGTTAATTTCAAGAATATTTTTTTTGGTGATGATGATCTTAAAAGGTTAAGAGATGATAAAGGAAGCTTTGTACAGCAAATTTTTCGAGTGTTTTGTTATTTTGGGAATGAAGAAAGGGTTGAATGAATTGAGTTTTGGCACATTAGAATTTATAAAAAAGAGTATAAAAATGTCAAACAAGCTCATAGAGTGCATAATATATTATAAAAAGTAAACATATTTCTTCATAATAAAAAAAATATTTCATAATAAATAGTTATTTGGAATTGATTCCACATGTTCGAATGTATTTTGCTAAAACAAACTGATAAGGAATGCAAAAATGTTGTTGAAAAAATTTATTGTTGTAATTTATCGAATAAATTTATATATAAAGATATTCTCACATTTTTTAAACACATAACTCTAATCTTAGAATCATTTATATATAAAAGTTAAAAACACTTGAAATACACATACGTTTCAAACAGTTTTAATAATGTTGTATTTTACATCCTAAAACGCAAGAAATATGTATTTTTTTGCAACCATTATTTCACTTACGATATTATTAAAACATTTTACCTACATTTACATATCTGACACAAATAAAAAACATTTTTAGTAATATGTCGTAAAAAGTATTACAGAGCTCTATAAGGAAGCAAATATTTCATTCAGAACTAAATTTTGCAATTTTGTACAGCTTTGTATAGTTCATTGTACTTGCAATTATAGTTTGTTCAAAGATTAATTCATTAATTAAATTTAATTAACTAAATTTAGTTTTACATAGGAGGGAGAAAAAATAGATTTTTTTTTTCCAGCGATCTATACGTTTCGCCACTGACGGTATTATTCCTAAATTTATATCCTGCTAAATATCTTATACAAGAGAAATTTTTTCTTCCATATAAAACTAAAATTAATTAATTAAATTTAATTAATGAATTAATATTTGAAAAAACTGTATTAACATCCAGTGTCATCGACTCCAAGTTAAAAAAAATTTATTTGAACATGAGTGGATGAATAAAAAGTATTTTTTTAACGATTGAAAATTTGAACAAGATCTATAAATATATATAGAGAGAGTGCGAACTAATAGTAGGAATTGAATAATATTTATTGCATTGAGAAATTTTTATTACATTGTGGTTCTGAATGTGGAATAATAATTTTGAATGTTTTCATATTAAATCAATTCAGTAAAGTCCCCACCATATTTAAGATTCCCGTGTTCAATACACATCTGGCTTTCCCCAAATCCCTCCACCATTAACGTGGTTAACCCATTGTTGCTAAGCAACAGTGGATCGAAGTAACTTAGTGTGAAGTATCTTGGATTTTCCCACGTGCTCTCTGAGTTCTTTTTTTTAAAACTTCTTTGGGTGGTGGCTAATGTGATCTTGTCTGGAATGAGCCTTGAATCTAGAGTTTGGTTTATCTGTCTGGTGTGGTATTTGACAAGTTTGAATCGAAAAAATAAGGAGCTTAGAGAAATATATCGTTTCCTTTAAAGTAACTTGTTATTATAAGGACTAAAACTTACTTAACTTATAATCATTTTTAAAACAAATATGGAAGAGACAAAAACATATATAACCTTGAAAACTGAAATGCTGGTGTCTTATAAAATGTACTTATGAATTGCAGGCTTTGTCCCCTTATGAATTAACAATTTATAGCACATGCTATTTTGAATGTAGTCACAGTTTTAAGGAAAAGTTATATCATCATTACATTGCTTAAGTTTTTTAAAATATTCTAAAATTCAGAATTATTCTTTGATTTTTAATGATTTTTCGTCTAAATAAAGAGACCTCGTATCAAGCATTAGCTTTATTTATTTTACATGGCAAAAGTTTATTAAGTTGGTTAAATTATTCAGTACTTAATGTGATTTTTTTCTAACGCCACAATTCAAAAGGGTGTTTTATGATTTTCAGCCATTGTTGAAGGAACCAAAAGCAACGATTTTTACTACATTTGGAGTGACTTTTAGTTATCCATTTGTAATAATAATAATTTTAAATTCTACTTGCAATTTGTTAGAAATCAAGTTTTTCTTAATGTAGTTACAATTATAATGATACCAATTTAATTAAGTCTATAACTATCTTCTTTTATTCAAAAACAGTTTTATTTTGCAGATAATTAACGGAAACGGATTATATTTTGAAACAGTAAGTTTATGTTTGATTAGAAATCACTAACCTGCTAACACTTCTGATTTATTGCTGGAATTTCTTGAAACTTGTTTTTTTAAAAGGCTTGGAGTTTGATCAGAATAATTTTGAACAAAACTGGAATACATTTATAGTTTTATACTTTTGGAGAAATACTTATTTCGAATAGAGAAGTGATATTAGAGAATAAACCACAGCATTACCAATATTTGAGATAGACATATATTTATATAGTTTTCATAGCTTCAACTATTAGAAATGTATTGTAAGTGAAATAAATTCTAAAATTGAACTATATCAGCGAAATTTTTCCGTAGTTCAACAATCTATAAAAAGTATAATGCTTGGTATTAATCTTATTCTCAACCGCGTTTTGTAAATTCAGCGACATGAGGTAGTGTTTACAGTGATGACCGGAATTTCCGACAGATACTGTATCTGCATCAAATACAGGGTGTTTATAAAGTCCCGGACCCATTTTGATGTTTAATAACTCATAAAATAATAAAGATAGATTAAAATTAATAACATAAATGGTTAGATAGACTCAAAAAGCTTCATGACCCTTGTCAATGAACTTCCACGTGTGCCCCCTTCGTCGCACGGAGAATATCAAGTCGATAGTCAATTTCACGCCAGGTAGCTGCAAGCATGTCGGCATCCACAGAGGCTATTGCGGTTGTAATTCTGGCTTTTAGGTCATCAATGTTCGACACGATCCTCTAGTAAACATTGTCCTTTATAAATCCCCAAAGAAAAAAGTCCAGCGGCGTTATATCAGGTGATCTGGGTGACTAAGGAATTGGACCTCCTCGCCCAATCCATCTTCCTGGAAAATGGTCATTCAAAGAACTACGAATGATGATACCCCAATGAGGTGGTGCACCATCTTGTTGCAAAAAGATAAGTGGCTGAAGCTCTTCTAGTTGTGGAAATACGAAGGTTTCCAACATGTCTAAGTATACGACTGATGAGACCGTCTTTTCTGTTAAAAAGAAAGGCCCAATNAGCGGCAAGCATGTCGGCATCCACAGAGGCTATTGCGGTTGTAATTCTGGCTTTTAGGTCATCAATGTTCGACACGATCCTCTTGTAAACATTGTCCTTTATAAATCCCCAAAGAAAAAAGTCCAGCGGCATTTATATCAGGTGATCTGGGTGGCCAAGGAATTGGACCTCCTCGCCCAATCCATCTTCCTGGAAAATGGTCATTCAAAACACTACGAATGATGATACCCCAATGAGGTGGTGCACCATCTTGTTGCAAAAAGACAGGTGGCTGAAGCTCTTCTAGTTGCGGAAATACGAAGTTTTCCAACATATCTAAGTAAACGACTGATGAGACCGTCTTTTCTGTAAAAAAGAAAGGCCCAGTGACTCGGTCGTGCATTAGTCCGCACCACACATTAACCTTTGGGGAATCCCTTTGTGTCTCATGGTATTCATAGGGGTTTTCAGATTCCCATATGTGCACATTATGGCAATTAACAATGCCAGAAACATGACAGCTTGCCGACATGCTTGCCGCTACCTGGATTGAAATTGACTATCGACTTGATATTCTCCGTGTGACGAAGGGGGCACACGTGGAAGTTCATTGACAAGGGTCACGAAACTTTTTGAGTCTATCTAACCATTTATGTTATTAATTTTAATCTATCTTTAGTATTTTATGAGTTATTAAACATTAAAATGTGTCCGGGACTTTATAAACACCCAGTACTTTGTAAATAAAACTTTTTTATTGACGTTTACATATTAAAATTTTTTTACATGGCGATCAAGTTGTCAAAAATGATAAACTTATTCTGCTTTCGGATGCAACGTGAGAAGAAATTCGAATTTGATGCCCGAAGCAAAATTTCAGAACTACATCCAATAAAGTTAAAGGAGGACAGCAAAACTTCCTGTAGAATTTTTTAGACAAAATTATTTTTTTTAATAAATAAGTAAATAAGCTATTGAGAGATTCACATTTTTTTAAAATCCAGAATGGAATACATAATTAAAATCTAATTTGCTCACTTCAAGTATCTAAATATACTAACCGACGACATCTTTCTTCATAACTTGAGAAGCTATAAGACCCATGGATGCAGATTTCCTCGCTGAGGATTCGTTTAGTCCAGGAGACCTCGGCCATGCCACGAACTGGGAACGGTATTCCGTGGTTTTGGGCACTTTACCATCTTCAGGTGGACCCGGAGTGCCCGGGTTACCGCGAGGATTTGTGCTTGGAGGGAAACTTTGAGCCATCTGGTTAAACAAAAACATCCAGAACAATCAACATTTAAATTAAAAAGAAAAATAGGATAAACTATAGTGCAGTCTTAAATCAACCTCTAATCAGTCTTACAAAAAAATACTTGAAAACTATTTATTTTTTTCATGAACAGACCAATTGTAATGTTTCGGCATTAATGAAAACAATAGGCTTTATAGTACTGTTACAATACTTCAAATTTTTAATATTTTACGAGGCTATTAAACAATTGTTTGGGGTTATTCATGGTCTGCTTATTCACTTAATCAATAAATACTAAATATTTTGAAGGTTGGCATGATTTAGGTAGATGTGGTACAAATTAGGCAGCTGATTTTTGTACTTACTTCACAAATATTATTACCAAAAATTATTTAAATAGCTGAGAAACTGTATTACATTATTAAATTATTTCAAATGTAATTGTCAGTGATTTGTGACAGTTACATGATTTAATTTCTCAACAGTTTAACACACAAAAAGAGAGAGAGAAAGAAAATAGAACGACTTTTAGAATACTTAAGAGATATTAAACTACAACTTACTGGTTCAAAAATGCTTAGAAAATAAATTTCCGATTCAAATTCAGACACTTTTAAAAACTTAAAAAGTAAGCCAAAATTTCGTTGAAAAATTTGATTTTTATCACTATAAATCCACAACTATTTGATTCTGGCTTATCAAATACTTATCTATCAAACATTCAAGGAAGGTATCACAGATTTCACTTGCCAACCACGATTAAATTTTTAAAAAAATGTTTGGAAAGGTGAAAAAATTATCTTCTGCATTTCTGCAACTGAAATATGCATTTTTAGAAATGGATTTTATAATGAAAGTGTTCCATTGAATTCATGGCAGCTTAATAGCAAATTGTTTGCCGTGTAGTTAGATTTAGCTTAGGTTTCCAATGGCCCGAAAAAAATTTGCTCATGTATTTATGGAATAAATTTAAAGCTAAGAAAAGAATTTGCTACATTTTTACTGATGCAAAAACGTAAACATTGCAGCAATTATATGTTATTACTAAATTATATTAGAAATTAAATTTTTATTTAAAAACAGGTACACATGCACTGTTGGAATTTTAATTCTAAAATTAGGATAAAATAACTCACAGCAGTCTGCCCATCCAATTAACCGTAAAGTTTAAGGTAAAGAACGTTTTTTACCTTTATGGTTTTAAAACCGTTTACAAAAAAACGTAGACAGATTAGCCCTCTCGGTAATAATATGTACCCATCTGCAAGGGAATAAGTAGTTTCATTAGGTGGGCCTACCAGGTGCAATAAAATTCAAGTTATTTAACCGTATTAGGTGAAAGCAGTTAATAAACGGTTTTTATCATAGTTAACAGTTTGAATACCATCTTATTTATGGTTATTTGATTGTTTTGTTTGAACATGGTAAAATAACAATTCAATAAATTGTTATTTAGCTATTTTCCCCCGAGAAATTCTTAACATTGTGGAATAATTGTATTAAAACATGAGTATTAAAATAGAATAAAATCTTGCTACTATACCAAAATAAGACTAATTTTACAAATGAAAGTGCGAGGAAAATTTATTAACACATTTTACTATAATAATGAATCATAAAATTAACTAAAAACCCGGACTGATACCTGTTCTTTGTCCTCCCTTTTTCTTGAGTCAGTTTCATCAGTAGTTTTTGCTACGGGTTTTGTGTCTTCATCAGGGATCTAAAGTAATAACAGCCGCATAAATTTCACAAATTACGAGCATATAGGAACTGTTTACAACTGCACTTGCTATATAAACCATTCCACATTTATTGTATAAACGTGCACAACTGTCATGCATGTCACACAAACGACATGACAAAAAAATGGGAGAATGGGAAAATATTAACAGGGAACAAGTTTTACTGGTACTGAATAAATCGAAAACATGCATGTGTTTTCACTCATCTTTTTAACATTGCTGTCGACAAATGTCGTATAAATCGTTTTATCAGTAATAAAATAAAGTTCAGATTTTCATTTGTTGAATTTAGTTAGTAATTAAAGACAATGATTATATACTCTTTTGAGACGTGTTTAATCTTTCAAAATACTTTAAATTAGTAATTATTATTAAAAGCAATGAAGTTCAACATGAATCAAACGCAGTTTTCAAAAAGTTTTGTTGTACCTAAAAAAAAGTCATTTTTTTTACTTACACAATCATAATAACTATTTTTTAGAGTAAAACTTATTGCAATAATAATTTAATTCGTAATAAAACTTGAAAAACAAAATATAAAAATTAATAAAAGCAAATTATCTAATCAGGTACAAGTAAAACCGTATTGAATCACAGGCAGAAAAAAATCAAGTTAATTGCGAATTTTACTCAGTTAATTTAATTTATTTTATAAAGAATAATTAAGTAATTTAAATTGAGGAACTTAAATTGAAACATTATAACGCGAGTAAAATGTATTACGAAATATTTTATATGTTTAATAAGACCCAGTCTTTATTACTGCACTGTTCTTTAATTTTAAAATTTCCCCTGATTTCTGCGATGGTTGAAAAATGTAAACAATTATTTTATACACCTTTAATTAATTATGTAGCAAAACTAAAAGAATAATTTAACAGAAATTATAGATTCCACATAACTTTTAAAATAAAGGATTATAATAGAATAAAAAAACTCACCGAATGTACAAATAAAAGCTGTCTTTGCAAATAAAATAATTCTACAACTTAATATTATAGATTAAAAATGCTTTGTATTTATCTTTTAAGAAAAATTTTTCTTTGAAAAGTTTTAGAGAGAAAAAAAATCGTCTGATTAAAACAGATTAGCTTTATTTGATTCCATAGATTCCCTTTATCCCAATTTCATTTTATTTTCCGTTTTTATAGAAAAACGATAATAGTTTAAAAATAATGAATAATTTTTTATTGACTCAAAATTAATAACTAAAATTGTCTAGTTTCAAGCAAAATAAATTTTTTCAAATTTTCTTTGAATTTCAAAAGAGAAAAAAAATCGTCTGGTTTAAATAAATCAGTTTGATTTAGTTCATTTTTATAAATTTCATTCTTTCATTTTTATGAAAGAACTAAATTCAATGAAATTGTATAAAAACTGTTTCAACAATGAATCATTTAAGAAATATGTATATATATTTTTATTTCCTTAAAATTCATGATTTGAAACATATTTTATTAAACAACAAGCATCGGAAGATAAAAAATCAAGCAAACGTTTTGCTTATTATTCATGTTTATTATTTTTTCGTCTTGTGTTAAGATTTTCATTTTTTTCTCAATTAAATAGCTCCATAACAGCCTGCAATTAAATAGCTCCAATTTTTATGTAGCTCCAGTCAGCTGATCTGAATCATTTGGACCAATCCCGAACAATGTAATATTGAATATGCTTAATCTCATATTTATATTTTCGTTAAAGTTAAATGATTAAAACTTCGATTTGTAGAAGGCTTTATAAAAAAAATTGCAAGAAAAATGCTGTATAAGTTTATTTTTGTTATGAGGATTGAGAAAAAAAATATGAGTTCATACGCAAAAATAAATCATATAAATTAAATAGTGCGAATTGAAAAACAATACAAGCTTTGAAAACAATACATTTGTTTTGAATATCTTTAGAAGAAAAAAAATCAACAATTTTCAGGATTTTATTTTTAATTTCTCATTACGTAAAATTAAAATCATTTTAATTAAGTTTAATTCGAAGCTAAGCTCTTACAGAATTGATGATGATTTCAATATGTTTTAATAAAAATCATAGTTTAAAAACGACTATTCAAATCACCGAATTAATTCAGAAATTTGGATCTCCAAATTAGTTACCAATTAAAAGTTGTGTATTTGTAATTTAGTTTAAATTTTAGAAATAGATATTTAGAGATAAAAGATTCTTAGATCTTTTAATTATTTATAATTCTCCATAGGTGTTAAACTAATTAATTATTCCGATGCTTCTAATTCGTCAACATCAAAATTGTTGTTGTTGTTTCTAATGCCACTTGCCACACTAGCAAGCCTGCTTGGTGAAACCGAGCAAATTTAAGGCAGAGGGTGCGTTTCTTGTTTTTCAGTGGTGCCATCTATGGCCAATAATGAAAATTTATCGCGTTGAGGTTTAAATTCATCTTGAAACTGTTTGCTTTACACATCACAAACACTTTAACAAACAAAGCCATTAGCAGACACTATTCAATTGGGATTTAAAACCATGCTAAAGGTAGAGTTAAGGGGGGAAGTCCATGCTTTTTGAAACCTTCTTACCGGTGTTGCTTTTAACCTTCTACTGATTGTAGAATCAGCAGATCGGCTTCTGACTGATGCTCCACTCTTGAAGTGTCTCCTCTCTTCTGACTGTCCAAAGACAATGGAAAGAAATGCTAAACAACCTCCCAATATAATAATTCATCAAGGTCAAAAGTTCGATACTTAAATTAACCAAATAAAAGATTTGATAATGAAAAGAGTTCTATGCCATTGACACAAAAACAACAAAAAAATTATTATGGTTAACATTTTATTTGTGTCATAGTAATATTCTTCTCTTCTATCTTGTTATTAAAAAGGATGTTTCAAAAAGATATAGTAAAAGCGATTACCACGAAGTTAAATGGCTATATTAGTTTTTCGACCTATGACATGAGTCTTTCAATTTTTTTAAAATCTATTAATAATTATGATTTTATTAATTATTTATTTAATTCTATTTTTATAATTTTACGAAAAATCACAAATAACAGTGACTGTATATTTATAACTATAATTATAATTCAGACTGTATATTATGTTATGTTATGTTATGTTATATTATATTATGTTATATTATAATTATATTATAATTCAGACTGTATATTTATAATTGACTACTTCTCTTGCGCAAATGATTGAGCCATTGAGTTCAATCCCATTAGCCGCAGGGTCTCCTAAAGTTAGTCAAACAAGTTTCTCGGAAAATAAAAAGTAAATTACTTACAAAAATTTATTATACTAATAATAAAAATGAATAGTAAATTTCAATTCTTATTAATTCACACCAAATCATTTGTTTATTACTCTGGCCCTCATCATTTGTCATTTTTTGTTGTTGTCACTAATAATAATCTTTCATTATTTTTTAGTTAACCACGTAATAAAATTGGAAAATTGAGAACTTGTTTATAATTAATATTTTTAGTTCATCAGTTCTATTATTACAGATAATTTCAATTGTTATTTGTACAGTTTCATTTCATCTAAAACTTACGCTGCAAAAAAATATCTCAAAATAGCTCTGAACCAAATAATTGTCGAAATTGAAAACTGTTTTCAAAATTGAAACAGCATATGCTTATTTTAGAGCAAAATGCACTGTCCCAAAAGTGATGTGGATGGAGAAATGTGTTAGAGAGATGCTCATTGGCTTAAAACGAAGGTCCTCCAGTTTAGTAGTAGGATGCTCTAACCTCAGTTCTACCCAAGTCCAGGGTGAGTTAGGAAGTTTTATAAAGTGGCCGCCACAATGACACATCATGACTACATTTCATTCGCTTAGAAGTTTTTAAGATATAGCGAAATTAAAATTACCGATCGCCATATTTTCCAAATTGCAACCTTTTGTACCTTTGAAATAAGACATTGGTATGTCATGATGTTTCATTGTGGTGGTCACTATATAAAGCTTCCTACCTCTCCCTGAACTGGTGGTCTACCTGTACAACTATGGTGGTTAGAGCATCTTACTACGAACTCGAAGGCACTTTTGGTTCGAATACTGCCGTCAGCCAATAACATTTATTTCATGTATTTTTCCCCCACATCACTTTTGAGACTACGCATTTTTCTCAAAAATGGGGTAGGCTGTTTTAATTAACTTTGAATACATGGGTTTTCAAATTCGATTATTATTTGTTTTGGAGCTATTTGGACACATTTTTGCTCATTTTTTTTCTTACGGAATAATTTGTTAATCACTGGCTGTTAAATAAATTGTTTATTCACTGGCTTTTCTCAATTTAGAAGCCCTTATCTCACATTTTATAAGACAATAAATGTTTATTTACTTATGTAATTAAACTTATTACTTATGTAATAAGTTTAAGTTAAGTAATGTTTATTACTTATGTAAAAAAACTCAAATCCAAAATGGATCATCGAGTTGTGAAATTGGCTTGATGATGAATTGCTAATTTTAAAAGCAATGCATCTTTATTCCACTAATTTAAAATAAAAAGATTAGATTGAGAACATCAAAATCTGAGCACAACAACAGAAACACATAATTACACCGTATTTTGCTGCCGCTATTCGATCAAAAGCGGCACTCTTTTTCTGTAATTAAGGTTAATAAACCATTTCTATCTGTGAGAGAAAGTTTTGATCCATGCCTGGGTAGGCGGAAATACAATAAGTCACGCGACTGGCTTTAAGCACTTAGTTTTATGAATGATCATTTTTTCAGTATAAGTACTTGGATCTTTTTTTTATGAAGACTAACAAATAATCATTATGTTCCATGTACAGAACAAAATTTTTTTTTTATTGTCACTGAGGCGGAACTGACGAAAGAGACAGTTCGGCGACAGCTGACTCAATTTCAAACACACCCAATCAAAGGCGACTGAATTGAATAAAAAAAAATGAAACAATTTTTTTAATTAATATTTATTTGCTTAATTTTAATAATTCATAAAAAAATATTACAAAGAATTAAGGCTGAAAATACGTGCCATAGCTTAAAATGTAAGTGATATTTAAGATTTTTTTTATTTTAGTTCAAAATAAAAATTGTATTTGTACGTGAGATATAGATCACCTTTAAAAATACAGAATGTTTTTCATTAGACAAGTTGTAACTGCAATCATAAAATGCAATTGATGTGACAGTCCTCTCACCAAACGCGTAATTTGTTAGGGACATAGAGTCATCAATTTTCATAAAAGCATAAAAAATAAATATCTCTTAGAATGCCCCGGCAAACTAAAGAATGTGAACAGGTATAATTTTCGGCAAAGCTTTCACTTTTTGTGCAAAATTATTAAAGTACCGTTAAAAAAATTATATTTTAATCTTAAAAAAACAATGATAATATCTATTTTTATTTTTTTAATGAATTCATTGCCAATTGATTTAAGTTCTATATAGAAAAAAAATAAGAAAAAACGATTCCCTTAAAAAGAAATTAGCCAATCCGGTTAATAGTTTTTTAATTTATCCCATTAGTTAAAAGCATTTGATTTGTGCAAAAAGTGAGCTCCGACTTTATAATTCTGATTTGTTAGTAAGCGCTTTTTTCTGTTTAAATGGTTGAGCTGCATCATTGTTATTATTTGAAATATCAATGTAATAATTGAACTTTATAAATTGATATATTTTTTGATAATATATCTTAAATATATTTTTAGAAAATATTTACATTTTAAATATATTTTTGTTAGCTGAAGTATCAATTTTAAGCATAAAAAAATAGCTTTTTGCATATTGCACATATTTACCCTCTTAGATTAGTAATACTGAAAACCATAGTTCATAACACAAATAAAATTATCAACCATGATATATTGCCATATCACTTGCATTAGTATACCCATTGAAACTGCCCTAGGCCTACCACTGCATTCTTTTTGTCATAACCTACAAACTATAACATTAAAATTCTCGGAATGTTACTAAGATGATTTAACCTAGACTTATAAAATATAAACAAACTTATCTCACACTTAAAGTCAATATCAAAAATGCGAACACAGTTAAAGAAATATGAAACCAATGGAGCAATAAACTAATAAATAATTAATCCATTTGAATAGAGATAAAAGGAGTTTAATATCACGTTCAATTCAACTCATTTTTTGCGGCCACACATTTTGGTATGAAAGAGCGGCCCAGACGACTTTCCGATACGAGGGTAATGCACGACTGGCCATTGTGAATCATCTCAATTTTTTCCACATGATTAAACTCGGAGTTTATCATGGCTCCTTTTTAATACTGGTGACCTGTTAAACTATACCATTTAGCAGAAACCATTGTTATTAATGATTTGTGGAGAAGAGTTTGATAGACTTATTGGAATTTTATGCCATCAGATAATTGCATTTGAAAAGTAAACCTCCACCAAAACAAAATGCTTTTTGAAAATGTTTGCATCGATAGCTATTGAAAAAGTAGTTTAAAATAACTATAGTTTCATAATAATTAATACCTCCTTTGTGTTAAACTGCTGATTCAGTTTGAAAGTTTGCTTTAAATTATAAAAAATTCAAGTCTGTAAAAATTCCCAGTTACTCATAGATATTGGTCTAGTTTCCAAAATGCTTTTTGAAAATATTTGTATCGATAGCAGTTGAAACAGTAGTTTAAAATAACTATAGCTTCATAATAATTAATACTTCCTTTGTATTAAACTGCTGATTCAGTTTTAAAGTTTGTTTTAAATTATAAAAAATTCAAGTCTGTAAAAATTTCTAGCTATGCATATATATTGTTCCACGTTATGCATATATATTGTCACGTTCCACTATTAAGTAAGAAATCAAAAGATGATTAAATTACGCAATCTAATATTACGCAATTACGAATCAAAATTACGCAATCTCAACTATTGGTTTCACCCGTTAGAGTCTTTAAAGACAGCTGCAATTTTATTATATTAAGTACTTTCTTTGTACACAAAATAATTGTGCAATCTGAAAATTATTTTTTTAATTATCAAAATAGAAACACATTATATTCCTACACGGAGGAAAAATTTTTTGATATAATTACCGTACGGTATGATAGTGGCATGTCTGGAAAAAAAAGCATCATTTTGACTAATAAAATAAAAATGCACGGTATTTAAACCGTTGAATTGGTAATTCTTAAGTTTATATGGTTTTTGTCTTTACCAAAGCACTTTGATAATAAGTACCGATCTTTTTGGTGCTCTCATACATTCAGAAACAGGGTAAATTTTATCATATTCTAGTAGTTTTAACCACATTTTTTTCAGTGTAGTTAAATAATACAAGTTTGAAACCAGTATTAATTGCCCTTAGATTAATTATTCCTCCATAACTCAGAGAGTAACCATAAGCCATTAAACGGTTATTGAAGTATTTTAAAACAGTTGTGATTTCATTATAATAAATACACTCTTTATACCCAAACTACTGTCTTACTTTGTATTTTGTTTAAATTAACAAAGAACAACTAATAAATATTCCCAGTTAAACATTGTAATCCTAAAATCTATTTCACTTCTAAGTATTTTTTTCATCTTTCGCAACAAAGTCAGCTGTTCCCAATTTTTCACTACTCCGGAATCCTATTTGATCGAGTATCTTTAAGAGGAACCCCAAAAATAAAAATATAATTTATTAGAAGCCATGAACATATTAACCGAAGAAAGACTTCGAATGGTTTTGAAATTGTTTTCAACATTAAAGGGTCCAAACTTTTCACAGCTCTTCTGACCAAACTCTAGGGATCATATTTCCTAGATTGCGACTGACCACTATATTTTGAGGCTAGAAATCCGAATCTACGGAATCAACAAATTTTTCATTAACTTTGATAAAAAAAAAGCTATATATTTTGCCTCGAATTGTGTCGAATGAGCTGTTTTACACTTTTAATTTAAAACAGCTCAATAGAAAGATAAATAAGCAACACTCAAATCAATATGAAGGCTTTCAGCTAAAATAATTCAAATGTTTAAAATAAGTTACGAATTAACTTCAGTCTTTTATGAAACGACCTGCACTGTTAAAAATTCCGGATCAAATCACGGTAATAAGTAATGGCACCCTGAGTGCAGCGACCCAAAAATCAATTTTATACCGTAATTTTTACAGTAATATTTATTTAGTTTCATTATTTAAGTGATTTCACAGTAAATATTACTGTAAAATCAGTGATTTTACAGTAATGTTTATCTAGTAACATCATTTCAGTGATTTTTGCAGTAAATATTACTGTAAATTCAGTGATTTTACAGTAATATCTATTTAGTTACATTATTTCAGTGACTTTAAAGTAAATATTACTGCAAAAATTACGTTATATCCAGATATTTTTGTTCCGTGAAATTTTACGTTATTTTTGCAAAGTAATTTAATCCGGAATTTTTTTACAATGTAGTGTGTCCAGTGTGCTGTAGTGTGTAGAATAAAGTATTTAGTTACTTCACGATGCGTAACTTTTTAAAATATTTAACTTTTCTTGTTAAAGAAAGTCAACAAAGTTTGTTGCAATTCAGTTCATTATATTAGATTTACAGCTTCTATCTCCCTTCTCACATCCATACATACAGGAAATAACTATGAAAACTTTAGCAAAAATGGCAAAAATTAGAGAAGGAAGCTAACAAACGCGTACAGTATTACAGCTATGCAAATCCGTAACAAGTTTTTCTATAATCGTAGAACTATTCTATAGCTTACTGTTGTAATGGAAAAGATTTCTTGGGGTATTTTCGCTAGTAATGTTTGATTTCAAAATAAGATTATTAAGCAGTTACATTTTTTAAGACAATGAAATAAGCTGTGACATATTTAATTCGATTATTCTTTCGTAGTTCTGTTATGTAACGAAAAAAATTATTTCGAACTTAATAATTAATTAAATAAATTTATTCATACCCGAAGACGTCATCAAATTAAAGAAAAGACTTACATTGACAAATGTAAACTGATTAAGTATATGAAAAAATTCATATATTTTTGTAGTTTTAGAAGCCTTTCTTCGAAATTCCATTTTTGAAACTGAAAGAAGGCAAAAATTTTGTAACGCCTGTTGTGTTTATCTGGAATAATAAACCAGTTGATGTTAAATGGCCTGAAATATGTATAATGACATTATCAAGAATATCCGTAGAAGGATGATAAAGAGCGGATAAAAGACCACTTACAAATCTTAAAGCAATTAATTCTCTGTCAAGTAAACTAAAAAATTAATGCACCGAAAAGCCATTACATTATGACCACCCTGCTAATAACATGTAGGACCACCTTTAGCCCTCAAAACTGCTAGCACCCGCCGTGGCATTGATTCCACAAGGTGCTAATAGGTAGTCTGAGGTATCTGGTACCAAGCGCTCACCAACTGGTCCTGCAATTCCCTCACATTGAGAGGGGGTAGCGTGGCAGCAAGAATTTGGTTTTCCAAGTAGGACCACAAATGCTCTATTGGATTAAGATCAAGTGAATTTGGGAGCCAAGACATGACTTGGAAGTCACTGGAATGTTCCTCGAACCAATCCATGACGATTCAACCGTTATGACATGGTGCATTATCCTGTTGGTAAAGACCATCCCCCGCAGGAAAAACTGTTGCCATGAATGGGTGAATCTGGTCTGCAACTATGTTCAAGTAGCTTACAGACGTCAGGGATTGCTCTATGAGGGTTATGGGTCCTAATGTGCCCCATGAAAACATTGTTCCTGGGCGAGAAACCATGAAAACCTGGGCGAGCCCATTGTTATAGATGGAGGGTGGTCATAATGTAATGGCTCTTCAGTGTATATTGTAGTTCAAAACATTCTGATCCAAAGATTTCCTTGACACAAAGTCCAAAAATTGATAGTTTCCGAGACACGAAGCCTCAAACATCAAAAATAATTCTGAATTCCTTTATATTATACCGTCAAGATATTAGCATTAACCAATGTGCACCACGTGGTGTTGATTGGATCAGATTTTGTACAAGAAAGAATTGAATGTTAGATTAAGTAATGCAAAAGCTAGTAGCTTATTGGAATGTTCAACGCTAAGTGAGTAGCTATACTCTGTTGCAAGATTAGAAAAATCCATTATCCTTATGGAGAGAGCCTGTTAGCATCCAATTCTACTCTAAATGGATGCCAAGCTCTCAGCGCCAACATTGCCAACTCTTGAAACGACTTTGTACAGCATTCTTTTTTCTTCCCCTCTTAAATCGTGTGAAATGAGGAAAAGAAAACTTACTGATTAATCAATTAACAAGTAATAACAATTAATAACAATTGTATCCAAAAATCGTAACAAATCTATACCTTTCTATTCGCATTTAAAGAATCTGATGAAAGAATAATAAATATTGTTTCTAGCAGACTATTTTCTTCTACAGTGAAGCAAAAGCGTTTTTTCGTATCTCGCGTTTGATTTGTTAAGGGCATGTCAGCATAAGCAGGGGTCTGTCCAGACATTTTGTAAAAAATCCGTTTTTGTAAAATTGTGAAAAAATTACTCGTAATTTGTGAATATAAAATAAACGTTAAGTCACATTCTTTCAATCAGGGTCCGCTTTTGTGAATTTGTGCAAATAGGGTACGTTATTGAAAAAAAAAACTTTTTCAAGGAGTTTTTAAATTGTAAATAGATACAAGATTATGCTCAACACTCTAAAATTGTAATTAAAAAAATTAAATTTTAAAAAATAAACAGCAATTGCAGCTACTAAATTAGCGATTCAGCATAAAAATATTTGGTATTTAGCCTATACTGCTGAACGCAGATTATTCATTTCGGACGAATAAAGGAAGATGCATCTGCTGAAGACAAAATTTAGTTCGTTTACATCTGTTTTTCTTCCCCCTCCTTCCTGGAGAGGGTTTATTCGATTAAAAAAAAACAATAATGAAGATAAACAAATTTGTAAAGGGTCTGATTAAAAGATAAATTATTTTGTGAACGGACCCAAATTTTTTCTAAGCGGACCCCTGATAAGAAGCGTCATTTTTAATGGTTCAATCAAGTCGAATGCTCTTTCGACGTCACATAGTTGTTTCTTTTCAAAAACAAATGTTCTTCTTATTTATTTAACTATGTCACCAAGTCTGGGATTCCAGTAAGACTTCGAAACTATATCTTTTTCTAAAATAATTCTATGATTTATATCGTAAAAGATAGAGCGAATTAAATTACTGTAAGATGTGTCTAACTTTTAAAAGCTTTTAAATTGTTTTGAGAGCATATTTCAAAGTTTGATAACGAAAGTACGAGAGTTTGATAACGAAATAAAACGGAACCATATGCAGAGGCGGATCATTACTTAAATCCTATTCCGCAAAGGTCTTTTCTTAACTTGCAACAGTGAACTTCTTCTCATTCACCTAATCCTATGCTGCTTCGCAAGTGCGCTTCAAGCACCTTTTTCCACAGCGACCGTTGCCTACATCTCCTATGTTTGGGACTACGCATTTACTAACTAACTATTACTAACTATTCATTTTTGGACTTGTCAAAGAGAACTTTTAATCAGAATGTTTTGAACTACAACATATAAAATTTTCAGACAATTTGACACCGGAATAGTTTCCATTACATTTGTGCTGGGTCCTTTGCTGAAAAGTTATTATTTTCTAAAATTGACAAGAGACCCGTTTTAGATACTAAGATAAAAAAAATTTAATTCAATTGTATTAACTACAGGTTTTGTAATTAACTCTAAAAATTCCAGCATTCCTGTCTTGTTTATTTTCCTTTAATCAACATAAATCCATAATGGTGACAAATGTTAAGGAATAATGTGGGGGAAAGATCATTAGACAATGCCAACCTTCTTCTATCGAAAGGTACCTCTAGATTGACTCGAGTTAGCATGTCTTATATATTAGTGAATTGATATTTAATAATTGTAGTGGTAGTTACGCCACAATACTCCCGCACCAGAATTTTATCAGAGATAGAATTCGATGAACGGATACCACTAGTTGTGAAAGACCGGGTCAACCTTGTGAAAGACCGGGAGAGCTGGATGAAGGTCACCGGGTTTTGATCTTTAGCCATGAAAGCTGTATTAAGTTCATGGTTATATGTGTAGTCACTTTTGTGTTGCTATTAGCAGTCGAGTGTGTGCAGGATCCCGTTATATATAAATGAGACTGAGAAGCAACAGCGCGAGGTGGACGATGAGGCACAAATATCAAGTCAACAGTTCAATGTGGACCATCCATAGAAGAAGGCGTGATCATATCACGTCCGGGTCACCAATGTGGGGGAAAGATCATTAGACAATGCCAACCTTCATCTATCAAAAGGTACCTCTAGATTGACTCGAGTTAGCATGTTTTATATACTAGTGAATTGATGTTTAATAAATGCAGTGGTAGTTACGCCACAGAATAATAGAAACAGTTGCATTTCGCATTGTCCTTTCGGTGCAGTTATAAAATAAAGAAAATGAAAAAAAGAATCTGTTTGATGAATTTGTTTACTTACTCTCGCTCTTAAATCCAAGTCTTGGGACGCGAGACCAAGCTGGGAGCCAATATCTAAAGAGGAATCACATGATTCCCCTTCATCATACGTCAAATGATCCCTTGCCATCTGCCCGGGATACTTCTTTTTCCTAGGTAAAGAGGGTTCAGCAGACGCTGCAAAGAGAAAAAATAAATATTTCACAAAACAGAACCAATAAGAATACTTCTGACTCTTCAACAATTGAAAGATGAGTTACATTATAGAAGGAGATACTCATCAATGAGAACTTTGTTAAAACAGAGAGATGTTACATTATAGTAGGAGATACTGATCAATGAGAACATTGTTAAAACAGAGAGATGTTACATTATAGTAGGAGATACTCATCAATGAGAACATTGTTAAAACAGAGAGACGTTACATTATAGTAGGAGATACTCATCAATGAGAGCATTGTTAAAACAGAGAGATGTTACATTATAGTAGGAGATACTCATCAATGAGAGCATTGTTAAAATAGAGAGATATTCAACAATGAATATTGCTTATACAAGTAGATACTCAACAATAAGCACGTTGCTTACATGCACTGGGAAAAAAAGTATGGTCAAAAGTACCAGAATATGGAATTTTTTTTATCGTGTTTCAGATTCTATGAGAACACCAAAAAGCGGTAATTTTTAAATAAGAGCTTTTATAATAATTTTGGTAAAATTAACAATAAAAAAGTATGGTTTTATAATATGTGGTAAAATTTTGTAATTTTTATCGTGATACCTTAGAGCATGGCGTAAAAACTATTTATTCGGTTAAATTTACCTTTCAGTTTTGTATTTTTTTTATTAAATGTGTAGGAATAAGAATAATTTCGGAAACCAGAATTTCTATTAAACTACAAAATGAACGGAAAATTACCTACCTGCGGTTTAAATACCACATATTTTGTTTTTATTAACAAAAATTATGTTTGTTTTTTCCAACCGGAAATGTCATTACCATACGGTACGATAATTTTACCAGATTTTTTTTCTCCGAGTAGGGAGATATTAATTGATAAACCCATTGCTTACATAGTTAGGTACGTAAAGACATTACTTATTTATATTACTTACATTACATTACTTAAGTAGTAAGATATTCTACTATGAACATTGATGTAGCCGTGGGGGCTAAGGGGATAGAGCGTTCTTCTTCCAATGCGGCTTACCGGGTTCGATCCCAGCGATGGCTGGTCGATACGAATTCCGCCCCTGACTCGCACGATCACATTGCTGACGTAGAAATATCCTCAGTGATAGACAGATCATGGATTAGAATCCCCTAGCCGTCAGGCTGACCGCAGGAGGTTTTCCTCTCCATGCGACACAAATACGGGTTAGCTCCATCAAAAGTCCTCACGGTGGCAAATTTCACCAAATATTTTATCTCAGAGTTCCCTTTTCTTCTGGATTTGGTTCAAAATTACAAGGCTACGGAGTTGGAAATACTCATCAACTAGGAAAGAAACACACAAATCAAAAATGAACTGAAATAGTTCAAACCAGCGGTGAGTAAAAGTTTACAAAAAAAATAACCGCTAAGGCAAATTTTTAAATATTTTTAAGAAATTTAGCAGAGTAGCTTTTTGGAATATTTCCGAAACTGTTTTTTGTTTTAATTAATTAACTTTTTCCAAACAATAAATAAGTCAAACATCAACTAGGAAAAACAAAAAACATTTTTTTTAAATAATTAACTTTACTCAAACGATAAAATAAATCAAGCATCGACTAGGAAAAAAAATTATCCCAAAATGAACTGAAATAGTTCAAACTAACGGTAAATAGAATATTTACAAGAAAAATAAAGGAGGCAAATTTTTTAATAAATTTAGTAGAGTCGCTTTATAGAATATTTCAAAAACTGTTTTTTTTTTTTTAAATAATTAACTAAGTTCAAACGATAAAATAAGCCATTCAAACGATAAAATAAGTCATTCAAACGATTAAAATAAGTCACACATCAACTAGGAAAAAAAAAGTCCCAAAATGAACTGAAATAGGTAATGAACCAACGGTAAATAGAAGATATACAAGAAAAATAACCGAGGCATAAACATAAGAGTAGTAGTAACAAAAAGTATCTTACTCTTTTTGAGATATCTTAACAATTCCCAAATTGAATGAAGGAGTAGCCTTAGCCGACACAATTCAAGGTCTTTATGAGTGAGCAATGGAAAGATGAATCCATTGTTCAATACAAGGCATCTTGTCACATAAATTCTATTGTATACGAAATTTGAGTCTACGGAAAGGCAGGTAAAAGATACAAAAGACAAGTATGACTCATACGTAACCCCGAAAGATCTACAGTGACAAGGCATCTGTTGTATTAAGATTTCAATGGGATAGAATGTTAGGTAAGATGATGAAAAGATAAGATGATATTACATAAAGAATGTTTGCAAAGATGATTTAAATTGAAATATTATTTTTTTAATATGAGAGGTATTTATTTTTTTAATGAAATAATGAGGTTTTTAAAGGTGTGCATAAATTGTTTGAAAATTGATGTTTCAAAAAATAGCTTTTGTTTGAAAAGCATTATTTATTTATTTATTTCAAAATGATTATAGTTTTATGAAAAGTTATTAACGCACTCTCAGAAATGATATTTCTATTTTTCGCAATTGAATCACGTAATTTTTGATGATGCGCAGACTCTTAAATTTGGAATATTATCCATTAGAGCTTACTTGTGAATATGTCCCGGGTTTGATTCCTGGTGATGATTGAATAATCACTCGATTAATCTCATTATATTTAATTCTGTNACGTAACAAAAAGTATCTTACTCTTTTTGAGATATCTTTACAATTCCCAAATTGAATGAAGGAGTAGCCTTAGCCGACACAATTCAAGGTCTTTATGAGTGAGCAATGGAAAGATGAATCCATTGTTCAATACAAGGCATCTTGTCACATAAATTCTATTGTATACGAAATTTGAGTCTACGGAAAGGCAGGTAAAAGATACAAAAGACGAGTATGACTCATACGTAACCCCGAAAGATCTACAGTGACAAGGCATCTGTTGTATTAAGATTTCAATGGGATAGAGTGTTAGGTAAGATGATGAAAAGATAAGATGATATTACATAAAGAATGTTTGCAAAGATGATTTAAATTGATATATTATTTCTTTAATATCTGAGGTATATATTTTTTAATGAAATTATGAGATTTTTAAACGTGTGCATAAATTGTTTGAAAATTGATGTTTCGAAAAATAGCTTTTGTTTGAAAAATAGTATTTATTTATTTATTTCAAAATAATTATAGTTTTATGAAAAGTAATTGACGCACTCTCAGAAATGATATTTCCATTTTTGACAAGTTAGTAACCCTGTAATTGGTTATTTTCGACAGTCATTTCGTTATGAAATCACGTGATTTTTGATGATACGCAGACTCTTAAATTTGGACTGTACGCTTACTTGTGGATATGTCCAGGGTTCAATTCCTGGTGATGATTGAGTAATCATTCTATTAATCTTCTTTTATTTAAAGCTGTAACTGGAAGACAATAGTGTTGGTTGGTTGGTTCCAATGCCACTTGGCACACGGGCAACCCTGCTTGGTGAAACCGAGCAAATTTTAAGGCAGAGTGTGCGATTTTTGTTTTTCAGAGGCGCCATCTATGGCCAAGAATTCGACTTCTACCACACCATGCGTCACACCTGTTCATAAGGCGGACAAATTGCATACATCCATTCATTCATCCACAGATCGTAATTTTGACCTGAATCAAGGAAAGATCGATCTCCAAATCCAGTACCTCCAGAGGTATTGATTTGTTATGGGAACATGGAGAACTTTGCGACTCGACAGAATTTTTACGTGCATCAGTCACCAACTACACGGGGAGTCTTCGGCCGGCGAGGTTTGAACCCACGAACTCTCGGACATGGGCCCAGCACCCTGGCTATCCCGGCCTCACAATACTGTAATTGAGCATTAAGACTTAATTGCATTAAGCCTTGTTCTTATGAATCAATTTGTATCCTTAAACATTGGTGGAAGACGCTCATTTCCTCACTTTGACAAAATGAATGGTCAGAGTATTACCCGTCAAAATTTCGAGTATTTATTTTTTACTGTTTACGATTTGACTTCAGGAGTAAAATGTAAAAGTTATTAGTATTACCCAAGTGCTCAATATCAGTGCTATTCACATTGTTCAATATTTCCCCTTTTTTTCCTTTATTTCAATTTTTGGGAATAAGTTTAATTTTTTTATTTCTTTCTTTAACCATAAAAAAAAAACAAAAGGAGTATTCATTCATAGTTTTGCGCAGAAAGGATTCGTTTCGCAGTTGCAGAATCTCGCCTCAAAATCTTTTGACACCATATGATATTTGTTTACGTATCTTAGATAAAGAGTGGATTTCAAAAAATACTATACAATAAAATTACAAAACGATTGGAGTACACTTAACTATCTATATTTCCAATATACATAAAGCTAGTAGATAACAATTTGAAAAAAAAAGAAACAGTATTTAAAGCTTAAGAAACATTTTAATTTTAATATTTTATAAAATTAATTAAAATAGCTTATTTATCTACACTGTAAACAATTTAAGTGCATCTCAACGATAAAAATGGTGGCGTCTACTTTACGCTAAAATGGTGTATTTTAAAACGCTAATAACTCTTGGATCTAGTGCTTCACTACATCAATGTTCTTTTACATTACTTGGTGTAAAGTAGTCACCTCTATTTTTGTTATTCAATAATTAATAATTGCAGTAAGATAAGGTACACGCAAGAATGGGTAAAGTTATTTTTACAATGCAATATAAAGTAAGAATGTCATTAATTTAGAATAATATTAGTTTGTAAATCAAACATACGCGCAGTACAGAGAGAATCTTAAGACAAATTCGAATTAGGCTTAACAGAACGGAAGTGGATAGAAATCATATATTATAAAATCAGTTAATACATTTCTCAAAGATTTAAACATTAAAATATAATTATTCTTATTTCACAATAAAAACATGCATACATATTTACGGCGAATTTTTATTTCTGTAGATAAATAACTGCGATGAAATAACAGCAAACTCTCACCAGCTAATTCCAAATTTATTTTTAAAAAATTACGCACGATATTCTACTTGGCGTCTCTTG